TTTCTTCTTTCTTCTTAAACAATATCGAAAAAGGATTATGAAACTTTGTCTTTAGTTCTAAGCTCAAATTTTGTCTAGCTTCCTTGAGAAAGGATATGTCGAGGCATCGATGTCTTTGAGCTGTGCACAAACGAGATTTAATTTTCTTCCTTCCTTTTAAACGATTGAAGAAGGATACTGAAACTTCGTCTTCAATTCTAAGCTCGAATTTTGTCTGGGCAAAATTTTAATTCTCCAAGTTTGATTGTCACATTATTTCACAGTCAAATTATTTAACGACGAAGTTGTGCCTTTTCAGTAACTTTGCGCTACGAACGAACTTAATACGTACTGCGCAACTTGCGAGGGTTATCATTACAACAAGTCCTAACGCGAATACCATGATCAGGTCTAATTTGGTAGCTCCGGCCGACAAAGTCACCTCAGATCGTATTGAGTTACGGAATAGGAACTCGGCCTTTATATAGTCCTCGTAATGAGTTCAAGTACACGCGCGGGATATTATTCCCCATTCCAAAACGGCGTGTCCTTCGATCGAAGATACGACGGCGAGGGCGATCCGTGTTTTTCGGCAATAAAAGAATTCACACAAAACAAGGACTCATCCTCTTCCCAGGGCACGCTAGACGATACGCTTCCCAATTAGCAGTCGTCCAGAGCGCTGGGAAGAAAAGGTAGTTCCGTCGAATCAATCATTCGCGATGATTAATCCCGGCTGCGTCACTCCGAGCTGCATTGTCGGCTAACATCTTAATAGCTTCGTCTTGCACAGCGTCAGTTCCGTAATCCTTCTCATCGTATTTCATTTACGTGCATAAATTTACTTTATAGTTGGTAGGTTTTATTTTTTAAAAGAGATTCTATACTTAGAACATGTTTCCTGTTTTGAACTGCACCGAAATCTAAATCCCGCGCGTTTACTCAGCCTTTGGTCGGCGCATGAACCTTGGTGACTCAGCAATATGGCGGAAGTCCTCCAGCTGTTTCGTCAGCTGTGCACTGCCGTACGCGGCGATTTCACGTGGTCACCGTAATAATAAAAACTATCGCGTTTTACGGGCCTCCCTCGGCTCGTCGTGATGCCGAGATTGTTTATCGGAGGGATTGTTAACGAATACCGATCGCCTTGATACACTTGGACATCTGCGGCGCGGCAATAAAAGCTCTGTGCGACCGAGGTGTGCAAGACACGCGGAGCGTTCGACGAAAAATATAAAGCTGGGTACGCAATGTCCACCGAGTTTCTTGCGTTTTAACGCAGCAATTTATCTCGTAACATCGGTGTCTTTATCGCGATCCTAATTCTCTTGTACTTTCGCCACGCTTGTTCTAGCCAATGTTACACCGGTAGCTTACAATTGGTGGATTTTACGAACATGGAAAGTATGAATTCATGCGAAGGATTTTTCGACCTGTGCGTGAACGTACCGGACGGTGGGACGGACAGTTTAAACGATATTTTATTAAAGTTATATGAAAGTAAGTCAGCAAAGTGAAATATAGTACGAATAAGTTACACGGTGTTTTCACTGTCCTACGAATTTCTTTGGTATTAGTGGGTTACAGAACGGTGGCGTTAAATCAAACGGTGAACGGGGGTGACGAGGGTAACAGTGAGAAAACGAAGCAGAAGAAACAGAAAGCAGGCGCGGTGCCAGAACCAATTGACGTTTCAAAGCTAAATGAGAAGTGGAGAGGGAAGCTGCGTTTGCTCAACAGGATAACATTAATTTGTTCAAATGTTGACAAGGCACACGCATTGGTGCGGTTTCACATTGTAAAATTTGCATCTTAAACCATTTGTTTTGAAAACGCAGAGCAAGCTTTAAAATACTTAGTTTAGTTTAAGCGAGATTAATATATTAAGGTGCACTTTTGTACGATATGTCTATCAAGAGACGAGCTGCTACGAGGCTATGCGATATTTATAATAGAAGCTGCAGTTACACGATTTTCAAAATAGAAGGTTTACTCATGTACTTATCGAAGTAATTGTATCGAGGTTCTCTCTCTGTTGTTACAGGCACATTGCGCAACTTTGAAAAAATATGATATATATGCTCTCGTCCCAACCAAGCAATCTGTATTGGAGGTTGGTGCACATATTTACTTTCTAAATTGCCGTTGGAAACTTTAATACTTTCGGCGCTTGCATCACATTCTATCGCTTCCGATTTATTTATTCATTGATCTTTTTCAGTCCATCTGTTCACAAATAAGAGCGGATCTCGTCACGATAAAGCCAGACATTTCTGGCATAAAAATCAACCAGAAGGTGTATCGGCAGGCAATGGCAAGAGATCTGTATTTCGAGATACAGTATGCAGATCTTTTGAGACGGGAGACACGCGTAGCGACTCTTCACAATTCTTATCGGCTTCAAACGTGTCGCATAAGCATGGTAAGTATGGAATATGCTAGATACGTATAGTGGAGATTTTTATTACTAGTTAATTTTATTGATCGCTGCTGCGATGTAAAATAATATTGAAAATTATTTTAAATATACTTATTTTTATATCGAGAGTTCAAGTCTGTTTGTGTGTTATAGAATGTAATCATATCCAGTGGGGCGAACAGCAAAAATTTGATCAGGAATCCTTACGACATCATAAATCTGTATCCTTTGAACTCTAATGTATGTCATGGAATTCTGTGTAAAGTATTAAAGTTGTGCTGAAAAAAAGCACTGCTTATGCAATCTTTATTATAATTATTCTATCTACATTATAATCTATATTATAAAATATATAAGCCTTAACACGATGCACAGTGGATCTGTATTAGGTTTGCGACCAGATACAGCTAAAGCAGTTATATCAAACGAATGTCATATTCTTCTCTTAAAAGCAAGTAAGTTATTATATTGTAATTAAGCCCGTATACAAGGCTGCCTGAAGAGAAAATGATCGTTTTTTACTTATTTCAGAAAGACGAATGTCTGGCAAAGCAGTATTTACGGTGGAATTTGCGACAGAGTCGGAGAGGAAGAAGGCGAGAAAGGATGAATCTCTGAATTAACAACAAAATTTAACTTTTACAATTTATTTAATAAGAAAATTCTACTGTACAGTTTTTATACACGTATATGCTAGTTTGATATGTTATTTAAAAACAAGAAATCTAACATTTATATTTTTGTACATATGTATGCGTATTTAAAAATTTCTATTTCTCCTGAAATTCTTACAATAGCATTTATGCAACTTGAAATTGCTTGGTTTTCTTTTTAAGAATTTTAGAAAAGAATGGAAATGTACCTGGAAGAGCCATCTGTTAGACTGTTCTGTACTTTCTACGTGATACACTGCAATCGTCCTGCTGTTTATAGCACTACATAAATAACAAAACATTACAATATTAATGACATAATATCCACACGTAATTCACGTTGCAATTTATCATTTCTGTGTAACAGAAATTGTTTTGATTATGACTAGCTGATAAATCTCGCAGTGTCGAGTTGTTACCGAGGATCGATATTACCGTAAAATAATATACCGCAAGTAATATTATTTTACGCATAAACTATTTATTTAAAAAATTATGAAATAAAAGTAATTTTTTTAAACGCATACAATTTTTCTCAGTAGGAAATGAATGAACTTCAATCAACAGCTGGTACAACGACTATGTTCATCTCAATTAGATAAACGACTATCACTATGAGTTCAAAAAAAATATATATATAAGGATTTTTTAATTAACGTTATCTTAACTTTATTACATTTAATCTGATGCATTTTGGTTGCAATATATATTATCACAACGGCGTTATGGTCTTAGTCAAGTAAATAATTATTTTCACGAAGTTAAACACAGCGAAGCGCTACCGCGAAATTAATATAATAAAGCGATACAATTTGACGTGTGAACGCGAAGGATGTAACCAATTGCATCCGAGCTTAAGTCATTCGCAACGTTAAATATCCTTTTAAGAGTTGCGATAACACGGCAATGACAGATTCTGTCGTCTGGTAGAAGCTGCTAACGTCGATTCGGAGACGGCGAAGGACTTAGTTTTGATCCAAGGATCAAACGGATCATGCGCCCGACGGCCGCGCGACCAAATCGATCGTCCGCACATTATCTCAAGTCATCCGCGATCCCAAGTCCATCGGCAACGTCGTCCATTTATCATCAACAGCAGCAGCAGCAGCAGCAGCAAATTCTGTATGCTCCCGTCAGTGGCCCAATGGTGACTCTTCAACCGTGTGGAACAGCGCTTCATCCTTCGTGCGTTTATCCGAACGTTCAGTCTCACGTTGTTTCATCGAATTCCGCCCATTTACATCTCCAAGGTTTGAAAGATAGACTTTAGTTCGAATTAATATCGTTTATAAATCAGTTTCTTCCTTCTTCCATTTCTCTTCTTGGCACCGTTTCGTAAAACAATGTTGAAAGTAATGCAAAAAGTATCGCAAATATAAAAAATTGCAATTACACAAATGTAGAATGCAAATCGGGGATGACATTTAAGATATTTCGCAGGTAAAAATAATCGATGGCACACCAAGAACAAGCCGTCCCGCGGTCAGCAATACTATCAACAGCAGCAACAGCAACTCTCATACAATCCAAAGCCCATGGTACTTTTTGACCAACCGTCCACCAGCGTCGCATCAATCCCTCCGTCGACCACGTCCTTCCTAGTAGCCTCATCTACGTTCACCCATGCTGGACCACTGCACAGCGAGCATTACAGTAACAATTCTGGAGTGACGCACCTGTTACCGCAGCCCTTCAACTTGAAGCCGCCGGATGTGCAGACCCTCTGCCTCATCCAAGACCGGCGAAACATCCAGCAACAACAGCAGCAGCAGCAACAGCATCCGTTGCAGAGTTGCAGTTCATACTACAATATCTCGGCCACAAACACCTGCAGTCTACAAACCGTCAACGCAAACTCATCTTTCCCACTTACCAGCCTCAATCCTTATTCCAGCCTAGCTGGCTTCAACAACAATCAATTCCCAGTAACAGTGCAGTCCTCCCCGTTTCTCTCGAATCCGCCCGTTGGTTTAGTCCTCGCGCCGTCGCGAGGAGACAAGCCTACGTCCACGTTAGATTTCGCGTCGTTGAAGCACAAAGCGGACAAGGCATCGAGCGCCCGCGAGTCCCAAGTCGTTCCAGTCGGTCATGGCGAAAATTGCTGGCCCTCCCAGATCGAATTCTCCAAAAACGACGGGCAAACTGTTGCAGGGAAGAACAGGAGCCTCGAGTCTGACACGCGCACTTTGCAGAAATCTCTCTCCGTCATCGCGAGGACGGACGAGGAGCATTACTCCGACGAGTCTTCCAGCTTCGACTTCACCATCGAGGCCGAGAAAATGGTCTCCGCCCTGTGCAACACCACCTCTTCGAACGATCTAGGCAAGGAGGAATCGAAGCCCGGCAACAAGACCGATACCACGACGTTGTTCAATGGCGCGGGCGACAACAAAGCGAACTGGTTCGCCGATTTTTGCTTTGAGTACGAGAACGGAACGTCGATAGGCGTCCAAACGGACAGCCCGTGCGTCGATAGATCGCAGTATCCAGAACTGATCAGGAATACAGCTTACTGGGGATGCACGCAGGCTGAGATTGTTCTCGATACCGACGACTCGCAGACGGACTCCAAACGGAGCTGGTTAACGTGTCTGCTGTCTGCCACCAGGACGGCAATCACGAAATCCTCGACTTGCATTCCGGTCTTTGCAGGGGACCAGGTCTTTGTCGACGATCTGATAAATGCCCTCCTGCGCATCAGCAACGGTTGGCTGAGCCTCGACAATTACCTGAACAAACAGCATTTCCCCAATTTACTGGACAGACTAGATCCCGAGTTAATCGCACACTTTCAGACATGGGAAGAAAGCACATGCGAGTTACTGAAGCAAATAGTACGAACGTTCCAGAAGTTCGGAGAGAGCAAAGAAGTGACAGATCAGAAACGCAACGTGACGTCGTCGTTTCCGGGCGACGTGTCGCTTTATACAACCCACGATCTCTTCGTTCCGTTGCCGTCGACTTCCTTCCCTCGACAAAATGCGACTGGAAACGCCTCCTCGCTGGAGAAACCACGCAGCGCGACGTTGACGTCGTTGCCAGCGAGCAGCCTGCGTAACTTTCAATGCAGCTCCAACTGTCAACAGGAGCAGCAATCGATGAATCCGAAGGAGAGCAAGTTGCGGAGCAAGTGGACGCTTACCGAAAATTTGTCGTCTGCGATCAACACCTCGAAGTCCGTGCCGAACGTTTCCGTTTGCCACACCGACGTCAGCGGTCTGACAAGTCACAAACTTCGTACAAAAGACGCATCGTCGTCCAGGAAGTTCGATCTCACTCAGAAATCGCTGAACGCCGAGTTCTGTCAGCTGCGGAACAAAGTGATGGAGAGCAGCGCAGACGCGACGAAGGACAGAAGACACGATTACACGCCGGGAGATAAACTTACGGCACTGCTTGACAGCACCGAATCCATCCGGCTGCAGCAGCCAGCGATGAACGCTCCTATGAGCTACAGTGGATTATACGCGCGGAACTGCCTGTCCTTCGCGTTTCCCTTGTCCAATCACCCGGACTCTTCGTATTCCACGTCCAATCCGGGGATCCCGACGTACGGCTATCCTTTTTCAGGGTCTTATCCCGGTACCGACATTAATTCGAGATGCAGCAGGAGCTCCGAGATTTATGGAGCTAAAGACACGAACGTCAATCCGGTTTACGTCGGCAGATCGCGGACGGATCAACTAGAACTCCCGGCTGTACCCAGAAACAAGATGACTCTCCTCAGTCAAATCGAGCCGCGGACACTCGACAAGGAGTCCGAGGAAATGGCGGCCAATCTGTCGGCCTGGTTCGCCAGTATGCGAAACGCGCAGCCCCCGACGACCGCGCCGACCTTCGAGGAGCCGAGGGCGAGCGAGAGCTCGGCGCCGCGATTGTTCGCTCAGGAGGCACCCAAGTACTCGACGGTCATTGCCAAGCAGCCGCAGCTCGACGCGAATCGGCAGTTCCAGGCGCTGCAGAATCTGCCGAATATCCAGAGCACGCCCTGGGTCGCCGGCAGCTTCGTCGGCAATCGTGTGGTCCGCATGCAACAAGCGCCCGAAGAGTACGACAGCTCCGAGGACGTGCGGGTGTACATGAAGCCGGGCAGCTACAACGTGCCGAAAAAGAGACACCAGAGAAGATCCAATCGTCGATCGAGCAACAACGCGACGTCCCGCAACGTACACGCGGGCAGTCGCCACAACGTGTGCGGTAACAATGGGAAAGGAGTACCGGTACCGGCATCATCGACGCCTCTACCTCACTCGAGCACGCCAGTCTTGTCGACCGTGAGCAACGCCACGCTGATAAAGACCTCGTTCCCGCCGGCCTCGCAGCTGCCCGTGCCTCTGTTCAGCCTCGAGAACTCACCTAGGATCCTGAAGCGTACGGAATCCCTGTCGCGGGAAGCGCGCCAGGACGTCACCTGGAAAGCAGCATGCGCCTCAGCCGAGATTCTTCTCGAGGCCCTCAACGTAAAGGATTGCGTCGGTACATGCAGAAACGTCGAGTGCAACGACACCGAGAGGGAAGATAAGAATGAAGACGACGTTGAAGCGATCGCGTCGCAGCGGAACGAGCTGAAATCGATGAACGGCAACGTTGACTGTGCGTCTTCCTACGAGGCCTCGGAGGATGACTCGGGATCCACGTGCAGACTATCACCTAGCACGAGCGTAGTATCCCAGTCGCGCGAGGATGAGAATGGTAAAGGGACTTGATAAGATTCACTTATTACAAACTTTTCCCCGCTGGGGAACCGGTCGATTTTATTAGAACAGCAACGAGATTAGATAATAAATCTCTTCGCGAGGATCTCGCGCGTATTTGTCGAAGCTACTTAAAAATGTCTCGCGATCTTTTTGCAGGTGGTACCTAGTAATAAGCAAAACAATCCTTTTCTAAAAAGCATGTTCAACAGCTCTCGACATCAAGACCAACGTGAGAACGGATTCCTGGCTGATCAGGACTCTCAATAACGCGAGTACCGTCGTCAAGCGACGCGAGGACGACGTCGACCGACGGAGCTTGGGGTCCTCGAATAGCTCGGAAATTGTTGACGTAAAACCGGATCAGCTCGCGTCGACCGCGGATGTTACGTCAACTGCAGATACAAAGACTCGCGCGACGATCATCGAGAGCGAGTATCCAGCGATCTTTCCTCGTGAGCACGTGTCTGATTCTTTCGAGAAGAACGGCGAAACGTCGACGAGAGAGTCGGAAGGTCACGTCGGAAGAGCCACGTATTCTGAAACGGTACGAAGATCTATGAAAATGAGCAGCTTGCACCTGGAGAAGAAAGAGCCGCTCAAGTCGTGCGCGACCAATTCATCGGTGACCGTAATACCAATTCCTGGCCGCAAGTGTCAGAGGAAAGACCCCGAGCAATCCTATCAGCTTCTGCACAGATCGCGAAAATCGGCCGACAAGACAACAATGAGAAATACGGACGGCACCAACGAGCTCCAGCTGGAGGAGGGATCGTGCGCGAAAGTCGGTGACGTCAGGCCGAACAGTGTAGCGCCGAAGTCGTCAACTGCCACGAAAACGAATCACGGCAAGAAGAAGGATCTGGAGCACTCGGAAGGCAAGTGCGCCGGCAAATCGGGCGAGCGTGGCTGGTCGGTGTGGTGCAGTTCCAAGAGGAAACAGAACCTCAGCCCCCTGACGTTTAACAAGCTGGAGACGATTCATCGAACTATCTGGCACATGGACGAGGGGAAGATCCTAAAGTATCCACTCTCGTGCGACAGTAAGAATGGCCAGTCCTCATCGGCGTTAATGGTCAGCTTAGAAAAGAAAAGAGTAAGTAGAAATGCATAGAATATGTATTGAAAATATCCTCTTCACTTTGCAGATGGAAGATTACTGCAAGGTTGTTAAGAGTCCGATGTTTCTCGAGATTGTCGAGTACAAGTTGAAGAACCGGATTTACCATAAAGTCGAACACGCTGTGAAAGATTTCCGTCGTATTATCAACAGTGCGAGACTATATCATCAGGTTTGCAGCAAAAACGGACCATTTTCTTCCTCTTACTGCATTTGTCTCGTCAATTATCGTAAAAAAATACGCGCTGTAGAAGTGAAATTCGATAAATCGCCGCGTAAAATTGCATCGTTTAATCTTCAAAGCCAAAGGACGAATTTAATATTTTAATTCCACATTTAAAAAGTGGGAATTCAGTTTCGAATTTCTCTTGATTCCGTTTCGCTCGCGTAGATTTCAATTAGAGTCTCAGAAAACGAATGTTCTCTCGCAGCACGACGACGAACGAACGAGGAAGATTGAGGCGCTCTCGAAGAAATTGGAAGAGTTACTCGAGGAACATTTCGGCAATTTGGACTCTGACCAGATTACCGGCAGTCCGAGGGAAGACTCCTCGACGCAGCTGCGATTTAAGACATCCGGACAGAAATCGATCGCGGGACGCTGCGATAACACGAAGAAAGGTGTCTCCTCGTCGATCATCGTGGAGGATTCCTCGCTCCACTGACCGTCACTTCTCGCCGAAACGAAAACTCCAAATCGGACTATCGCGTCGAAACTGTTAGCGAAACTAAAACGTTCCTTACAAGGGCATTGCGCGCGATAGCTTCTTCTAGCCACGAGCCGTTTTGTCTCGTAGACGTTTTCTTTTCTCTCTTCCCGGAGATCGCTGGCTCGTAAACCACTCGTTGAATTTTTCCGTCTTACGAGGACGGGGCTCGGGACGATTTTGTTAATTGTGAAAAGTGTGCACACGTGTGTTCCGCTGACAACAATTCCAATTTCGTGACGATTTCTTACAATTAGCGAGAAAGGAAACACTGTATTAAATATGCGAACGATCATCGGACAATATCGAACTTGTTTCTGTACGAAAAGGAAAAAGTAGTATCACGATAGCGAAGTATCGGCGATATATAATGTAATTTCCGCGTTCATTGTTACGGCTATTACTTATGAAACATTTCGATCTTTTAGCTTCGACGCTCCTGTTGAGGTATCGTTAGATCAGAGTGATATGAATCATGAAATATATTACGCTGGCCAGTCTAAATATTGCTGTTCCGTTCTGAGTCTTGCTAGCAGCTTAGCGAAGCAAGTGCAAAAAGCACCGAAAGTATTGTATGCCCTGGTGAAAATTTTTCTTAGAATTTTTTCATTATTTATAAAAACTTTCAGATTTTTTATACAAATTGGAACACTCTTCCGAAGTACCGAGTTTATATCTTCTATAATTTTTCGTATGTATAAATTTTGAAGTATTCTGCAATTTCTCATTATACAATTTGAAACATTTGCATCTCAAAATATTTACATGCATGAAAAATTCTAAGAAAAGAAGATTTTCTCAGTATTTCTGAAGAGTGTACCAATTCGTACAAAACTTTGGGGGCAAATTTTCATCAGGGTAGATTTTACAGAGAGAGTCTCTTCGTAAAGTGTCCGGAGAATCAAATAATGAGGTCACAAATACGGAATTGAAATTAAGTATCGTAAATTATGTATTTAAATACGGAGCAGAGGCTAATGTATCATAAACGCGGGGGTACCGTGCAAGCATCGCCCTGTTTAAAATACTAGATAGAATATAATCAGATTACATTAGATTATGTGCCAGCTCGACGTAAAAGTCTTTATTAATTTTGAAATTACATGCAATCTAATGTAATCTGATCGTATGCCGTCTATTATTTCAAACAGGGCACCGTTCGCAATCGGAAGTGAACTCTTTAAACACCAACTAACAGTTACATAACATCGATACTGTAATTTCCTACTCGACAACGTAACTTATGTACAACATGCATTATGTTGCGTTCGTATTGTGAGTGGGAAACTATAACACTGATGTTGCGCAACTGTCAGTTGGTGTTTACCGGGTTCTGGAGGTGGCAAGTTAGGGTGCGTTCACGAGCTCAGCTACCGGCGCTACTTAGCGCTGAAAGCGTTCGTTCTATCTTCCTTCGACGCATAATGAGCAACAACTATCAGCGCTACTTGGCGCTGAAAGCGCCATTCTATCTCCGTTGCTCATTACGCGTCGAGGAAAGATAGAACGACGCTTTCAGCGCTAAGTAGCGAGCTCTCGAATGTACCCTTTTAGTCGACCCGGATTACGCCTAACCCAGTGAACACCAAGCGACAGTTACAGAATAGATAGACACACGCACGTTATATTACGTTTACATTGTTGAGTAGGAGATTGTAATAATGACGTTACGTAACTGTTACTTGGTGTTTACTGGGAATCTAGAAATAATAGAAGGTGCCCTCCGCGTCTAGAAACATTCGGTTTTGCACGGGCAAGTGAAAACGCTCCGGCTGGGTATACATCTACGAGTGAACAATACGGTCGCGGTAGATTACGGTATTGCCGTACCACGGGACACGGTGGTGTCTCGCGCCAAGTATAAGCGTAGGCAGAACCGCGGCGCGCGAGTATGTAATACTTGGCGTATTACATATACGGGTATCGCGAAGAGAAGCGAGCAGCAGCCGAATGCTGATTAGGCTTTACAGTAACGTCAAACATCGCGCCGGCCCGAGCCGGAGTCGCCGGAGATAGCGATAATCGCGCGAACGAGGGGGGGGTTGCAACCAACGACACGACGTCCTCGCGTTCCCTCTCTCTCTCCCCCCTCTCCGTGTCTCTCCCTTCCTCTCCGCGAGAGAGAAAGAGAGACGCGACGACCGCCCCGGAGCCGGAGCGCGCGGCCGCGCCGTGAAGCGGAGCGTGAATAATAAGAGGGCAGATTCGCGGGCGGCGAGCGTTGCGCCAGGAGGAAGCCGCGGCCCGCTCCGGGAGCGAGACGCGGAGCGGTGACGAGTCGCGAAGCGAGGCCCGCGGGGGACGTGCGTCGCTCTCTCGTGGCCGCGGCCGCCAGACCGAGATCAAGATGGACTGGGAGCTGCTGACGATGGCGAGTCTGCATCTGACCGCGACCGAGCACCGCTACTACGGCGACATATTCATCTACTGCTGCGAGAACGCGGACGGCGACAGCGTGTCCGTGATGAGAGCCGCCGAGCTGCTGCGCTCGGCCAACCTGCCGCGGGACGTCACGATGAAGGTGAGAGAGCAGGGGGTGAGAGCGCGGCGCGACGTTTCTCGCCTACCGTCGACGGAGATTCGTCCCGGCGCTCGGGAGTTTCTCGCGCCGAGGTGACACGACGCGCAGAAACGGGACGGGCGGGACGTCGGGGTCTGCGCGCGGAGGTTAGGTCGCGGCAGCTGAGCGGACGAAGTCGTCCCCGGGGGATATCGAGTCGCCCCCTCTTGCCTCTGGATTGTCAACGGCTTTCCGAGGATCCGTGTGTTCCCTGCGCTTCCTGTAGGTTACTTTTAGTGGAGGGCAGACCGTTGCCGTTTAGACTGACAGCTGTCATGTACTCATGTGTTCTAGAGAGAAGAACGGAGGTGGGGGGATTGTTTTAGGTTGTATACGTTTGTCGACGTGAAATGTTGATCCTTGTAGATATTGGACATCTGCATGGGAACCAAGGGCAACACGCATCTGGGGAAGAAGCAGTTTTACGCGGTGCTGAAACTCATCGCGGTCCACCAGGCTGGCTTGGAGATCTCCCGGGACATGATAACCGCGTCTCTGGACGTTATCACCTTGCCGAGATTCACGTGGCCAACGTCCGGCGATGAAGATGGCAGGAGGAGCCCGGACATAACTAGAGGGGCGAAGGGTAGACATCACGCACCCGAGAGCACCACCGAGAGCGAAAGCGAGGCGGAATCTCCGCGGGAGGCCGGCGGCAGCACGGACTCTCCCACGCCGACCAACAGCGTGACCCAAGAGAGAAACGACGGTATGCTGGGCGGTGAGACGATCCTGGACTCGGTTTCCGGCGGTTGGCAGGGCTTGTTGGTTTCCGAGGAGCAGAGACAGCTGTTGGGCACCGAGGAGGAGAGCTCGGAGCGTCACAGTAGCGACGAGGGTGAAGGGGAGGGTGACGGGTCCGGTTTCCCGCCGGAGGAAGTGTGGATTATCAGCGACGAGCAGCGTGATTATTACGCCGCGCAATTCGCGCAGCTGCAGCCCGACCCGGAGGGCCTCCTGGCCGGGCCCGTGGCCAGGACGTTTTTCGAAAAGTCACGGCTGCCCGTCTCCGAGTTACGGCGCATCTGGCAGCTCGCGGACGTGACGAGAGACGGGGCGCTCAGTTTGCAGGAGTTCTACGTGGCTATGCATCTCGTCGTGCTGAGGAGGAACCACGTGCCTCTGCCCGACGTTTTACCTCCGTCCCTGTCGATCCCGCTGGTCATGCAGGCAACAGCGACTACTGCCGCGTCGCAAATCCCGTCGGCGACAACTGCTCAAAAGTCACCGCCGAACTCGGCGAACGTCCGCGAGAAGAACAGGGAGTGGACCAAGTTCGTGGACTCGCCGACCGGAGCGAGCAGCTCCTCGGTCACCAGCCCGGGGCTGCAGCTGGTGAATTTCGATTTCCAAAAGTCAGCCGTCGAACGCGACCCGAAGATCCTGCATCCGGTGCCGCTGCGTTTAACGCCCGAGGCGGCGATCCTTGCCTCGGGCGCCAACGGCAGCAGCAGCAGCTGCACAACCCTGGGGGACGACGATCTGCAACATTCCGCGGCGTCGTTAGTGCAACGACCACTCGCGAAGAAACCCCCCGCGGCTCCCGAGGACGCCGTTATCGTGACTCCTAAGAAGGAGCCGCCGCCTCCACCGCCGCCCAGACCGTACAGAACACACGCGCGCAGTTCTAGTCTCGATCTTAATAAATTAGGTATACGTCGCTACCGATACTCCACGATACAATACTGCGGTTACGAAGTTCAAGTCTTACAAACTGCGTATTCTTGTAGGAAAAAATGGTCAAAGTTTTCTCGGGGCACCGCCGCTTGTACCACCTAGAATCTCGCCAGGAATTGTAAGTTTGTATACGGTAGAAAATGTTCTTGTGCATTTTCAAAGGAATGCCTTGTAAACGTTAATTTTTTTTTTTGAGACTATAATGATTCGTTTTTGTGTGCTGCAGACTTCGCCTCGCAAATTGGTCGGCCAAAGGAGCGAGGGTGAGGGACAGAGAACGTTAAGCGAAAGTCAAGCTTTTGTCGCCGACTTCTCTCACTTTTCTCTCAAGAGTGAATTGCCTGAGAGTACGGTACCGTCTGTAGAAAACACGGTACCACAATCTCAACAATTCACCGGTGTGTGCGGAGCATTTCATATTTATAGGAAACCGAGTCCAAGTAAGAGAAATTGTCTCATTAAGTAATTTCTCAACGACATTTAACACTTTCTCTGTATATACATGTATATTTGTATTTATAATTTTTTTTTGTTTTTAACCAATACTTTGTATTGATTTTCATTATTTTACGCAGTTAATGGCGCATATATAAGCAGAAATACTTGACTTTCTCTTTTGAAGTATACTTTCAAGGCAGATGTTTCAAACTATTTTTTTTTCAATTATATTTTTATTTTCGTAATTCTGTTTAACAATTAATCCTGACAGAACGAGACGGCGGTGAGGAAGACAGTAAGAACGAAGCGGAGGACGAAAAGAAATTAACCTTACAAGAATTAAGGGAAAAGAATGCGGAACTACGCTTAGTCTGTGAAGAACTGACACGTGAGCTGGCTAGCGCGCTTCAGGAACGTATAAATCTGCGTGCAAAACTCTTGCTCTTGACTTGATGTGATTACTATTCGCTATCATTCATTTGTTCAAAGTTACGAGGTATTGTGTACCCTCAAATCATTGTAAACACATGTATTTAATACGTTATGCTAGTCTAGAATTCCTCTTTTTCCTAACGAAGTATTCATCCGCATTCATAACAATCAACGTAGACAGACAGATGCGGCAGGGGACGCGATTTACAAAAAAAAAACAAAGAAAAATATTACATAGATATTTTATACTTGAGATTGAAAGAGTGTCTATGGCATAAATTATGAACATGTATATACAAAGCTGATTATGATCTCTATATTGATATATAACAAGTGTTTGCAAATTTGCTTTTGTCAAGTTTACAAGCTCATTGTTCACGTTTACATGTAAAAGTATTTAAAAAATTCACTCAGGTTTAAAGCCTACGTTATTGAATTCCCCTGTGATTTATTGATTTGTATATTATGCATGAAACTTCCTTTTTCATTGCCTCGAATTTATATATATATATAAAAGCACGCCGCGCATACAGGTGTATCTGTCGCGTTGTTATTCTATTTCGGTAAAGATATTTGAACGTATGATTGTGATTTATATGCGCAAAAGTGTGTTAATTTTATGAGAATTATATAAGATATTTCATATTCCTGTTTATTAACGAATCTCTCTTCTGAAGAGCTTTGTTTGCCGTAAACAGAATCGTACCCGTTTTTAATTGGTTGTGTTGTAAAGACAAAGTATTTATCGTTTGCAACAAAATCGAATTGTATTTTCGTATGGCTTGAAACTTTTACAAGATGGCGTCAACGGGGAAATGGAATAATCGGGACTGTTATGACGTTATATTTTATTCCGTGATATAACAAGTGTACCTATAAAATACCTGTTACATTTTGAAGAAAGATATACAAGAAAAGTGGAATCTGCAGGAACAGAATACTTCGAGAAGAAATTTATATAGATATATAATGCTCAGAATCAATTCACGTTGAGTACGTCGATTTTGGTGTATCTATAATTTTTGAAAGGATTATATAGATTCCTATTGTAGATTTTAAGAAATAGAAGCTGTAGCGTTCGTGCAAGCTGTTCGAGGCCTGAGAAGAATATAGATCTATCAAAGCCACATCTGTGCAACAAAACTGAATTAATATAATAATCGACATTCCTTCCAGCTAATTTCGCGGATATCTCTAATAATAGCGATTACTCTTAACGGACGTAGGATTGTCTAATAAAAAAAACTAATAAAAAAAATCTGCACAAAATTTTCAAACTTTTCTTTCTTTGTAAAATTCGATCTCCGTGGCTCAGTTCCATATAAGTCTCAGCGCTTTATTTATGAATCGCCATTTCTATCCAATCAAATATGTATTGATTCGTGATTAACGTTAAGACTTCTTTCTTATATTTTCAAACTCTTCTTTCCTACAGATAGCGAATAAATAAAATTGCCGACCGTTGTTACTAATAACTCTTTGTGCCATAACGCGAAATTTTGAAGTATATATATATATCGTCATCAGTAATCGACAGTATTCTTGTCAAATATCACGAGACTACTTAGAGGTAAAAGCTTGAAAAATCAACGAGTCATGCGACAAAGATTTTTTGTAATTATAGATGTAAAAATTATACAAAATTAATACTTATATCAGAATTATCTCTGATTTATTATCTACGAGCCTGTAAAGGAGAAATGTAATGATGTAGAATACATATACAGAAGTGTCTGTCGGATATGAATAAAGAAACTACTTTAGTTTCATAACAATTTTTATTGACGTCATTGTATGAATGGAAAAATAATGTTAATCGTGCAGAAGAAAAAAGTTACAAATACTTGTATGTAACACATCTCTTGAACGTGAATGAGCGAATGATGAAAGTCGAGTATTGCAATTGCAATTCCATACGAATACAATAAAACCTTCGTACGCGTGAAGACGAAATTCGATGAATGAATTGCAACCGATAATAAATTTAGTACAACAGAATTAAACTGTAATTGTCACGTATTTCTGATTTTACGTAATGCGTACATATTTTGCGATTACACAGACTCTGCATAACACTGAAGTTGGAATATTCACATTTACATGTCTGCTTTCTTTTTTAACAAACTGGCTCTAATAGTAACAAGATAAATATGTAGATTTTTAAATACGAACACCAGAGCCTGCTTTACTTTGTATTTCAAACAGCGACGAAGAGACACATCGCTTTACCTACAATTCTATTAACTGCGAAAAAGATGTACGATAACATCCTTTGGCTTTATACTCCGGGTATATCTCCGCTAAAAGTTACGATGCCGGTTAATACAGAGTGTTTCTTACAGCAGCTTTTTTTTACAATGATATGCTCCATACAGTGACTTCTCGATACGGCGAGACCGGAGCTAGGAGGACACGGATGAACAATCGACTTCTCAAGACCAATTTAATTGTCCTTGCTCTGCATGAACTTAATCAAGTCGATAACTCGGCTAGAGTAACCGAATTCGTTGTCGTACCACGAGATCAGTTTCACGAAGTTGTCGTTCAGAGGTATGCCGGCCTTGGCGTCGAAGATGCTGGAGTGATTGTCGCCGATGAAGTCGGACGAGACAACGTCGTCCTCGGTGTAGGCCAGGATACCCTTCATAGGACCGAGAGCAGCCTCCTTCACTTTGGCTTTGATGGCGTCGTAAGAGGCGGGCTTGGCCAGCCGAACCGTCAGGTCGACCACGGACACGTTGTGCACGGGCACGCGGAAAGCCATGCCGGTGAGCTTTCCGTTGAGTGCAGGAATGACCTTACCGACCGCCTTGGCAGCTCCCGTTGCAGCCGGAATAATATTCTGCGCTGCACCACGGCCGTCACGCCACAGCTGTTACCGGAAACAAACAACAAGTGGCATTATATAACGAATGTCGAATGATCTCTCTTGATAGTCAGCCGTGTGTCGTACACACCTTGCCGGAAGGTCCGTCAACGGTCTTCTGGGTGGCCGTAATCGCGTGTACGGTCGTCATGAGGCCCTCGACGATCTCAAAGTTATCGTGGACCACCTTGGCGAGAGGTGCTAGGCAGTTGGTGGTGCACGAGGCGTTGGAGACGACCTTGTAAGTCGGGTCGTAAGCCTCCAAGTTGACACCGACGACGAACATCGGCGCGTCAGCCGACGGGGCGGAGATGATGACTTTCTTGGCGCCGCCCTCCAAGTGAGCCTGCGAACACACCGAGGAAAATTGACGTAAACGAGGATTCCAGCAGGGAAAACCAAATATAAATCTTATTTGGATGTTACATACGGATGCCTTCTCGATGGTGGTGAACACGCCCGTGGACTCGACGATGTACTCTGCGCCAGCCTTCGCCCACGGGATCGCCTTCGGTTCGCGCTCGCTGAAGACCGTGATCTTGTTTCCGTTCACGACGAGACAGTTGCCCTCGGCCGTGACCTCTCCCTTGAACTTGCCGTGGGTGGAGTCATACTTGAACATGTAGACCATGTAATCGAGACCGATGAAGGGGTCGTTGATGGCGACGACCTAGGGGTGACAAGAGAAGCCGGATTAGTGAAACGACCGACGACTTGCGCGAATCGCAAGCTTTCCCCTGATAGAAATGTAAGTGAAATAATTACTGAAAAAATTACCGTACGTCAGTAACTTTTAATAATTCAATCACTGAACTCTAGTAATTGCTCAGTGATTTTTCTGTTCCCGGTTGTTATATTTCTGTAAGGGTTTCAACCCTTTCGACGTACCTGACCGCCGCGCTCCAGGGAAGCCCTCAGCACGAGACGGCCGATGCGGCCAAATCCGTTGATTCCGATCTTGCTCATGTCGTCGTCTGGATCGCAGCTGGAAAATCGAGCAAGAGCGTTACGAGACGTTGCGCCGCGACCATGTATTTTCCGCGTGATTGCGGTCAGCGAGACCGGCAAGGTCACGTGGCACAGGTGCGAGAGAGCGGGTCTCATCGTTAGGAATTGAGAGATGTCAGGAACAATTATCGGACGTTAGATTAAAGCGTGAATAAACGTGCGACGCGTATGATGAGCCATCGTTCGCTTCTCCGCTATTTTCAGAATATCAATTACGTTTCACTGCGTAGACACGACTGACAACTATCAATTATGCTTTTCGCCGTGTAGGCAAAACGTTTTGCGATATCGTTACCGTTCTAAGTTTTATTTTTCGAAAGCTCGATCTACAATGTGAGCTTTGCACCTAGAAACATTCTGTTTTATATAAGCAAATCAAAACGCTGAAAAAACTTATTGACCACGCACAATTGTACCATGGACGTAGGAAATATCTGGACGAAGCGTAAAGTACCCTTTTCACTTGGAAAAAGTACCCTTACGGTCGCTTCTGTTCAAGGCGATTGAGTGTAGCTATCTTGGTACCTCATGTCCGTTACAATAGACATTTCATTCCCCTCACCCCTTGTGGACCACCCCCGTGGCACTATGCTCCGTCCAGGTATTCCTACGTCCATGGATTGTATACTAGGAATCACTGATGTCTTCCCATATGAATTTAGGCACAGGTAGACACATATATATTTTCCATGTACATACATGCAAAATGTATACGTGTGTTGATATGTGCACAAATTCATGTGGGAGGGCATCAGTGATTCCCAGTGTACAAATGTATAATTTATCAACTTGCATACATTTTTTAAACGCATTTATTAGCTGCAAAATAAAATGTTCCCGTTGCAGATCAGATTTAACATTTTACTGTACAGTCGGGAGCACTGA